AGCATTACCCCCGAGGCTAAGTCTCAGAGCACATCTAAACTGGAAAGAAAATATTACAGAAGCTAGGTGTGTTTCGCCCGCGTCGCAAGAGTTATCCACTATTATATATATATAATAGTGGATGTGTGAGACTCGAACCCGTTCATCTCACACCTCACTCAAGCCGGGATATTAGAAATACTGTGCCTCGGGGATGCGAGAGGTACGAGTTTAAGATTCACACTGGGCTATGAGATATAAAAATCTTCATTAATATTGTTGTAGTTCGTGGCGGCGCCATAACAATCTTAATAATTTGCCGAGGCTGACAGCATGCAAGGTGTAACAAGATGAAAATTTTCCCAAGTGATCACACACTACGAGTGTTTCCAGGTTTTTGTTAGAATGCGGAGGTTGAATACCTGCAGCTCAAGCTTAAAAAAGGAATCAGTTATGTAGTGGGGAGGGGCACCGTATTTCTAGTATCTTGCGCTGCCTGGGATCCGAGAATTATAAGTTTAGATTTCACACGTCGGTTTTGAGATACAAAGATATTTGTTAATATTCCACTCGTTTGTGTAATGTTACAGATTTTCTTTCTTTTTACAGAATAATAAATACACAAAAAGCTAGTTATATATATAACGATGTGTGTTAGAGACTCACTTGAAGTAACATAGGTATCTGTCCATGATAAAGCATCTTTCATTATAGTTATAACAGCTTTAGATAGGAAGGACAAGTGGAATTAAATAATTACAAAATTCTAAATTTATAAATACAAAAATATTGATTCGTGAATAAATAAATAAATACACCATGGCAGCATATAACGGGACTGAGACTGCTGGCTAAATGGGTTTATCGCTTTCACCCCGAAATGTTTTTCGTGTTTTGAACATAAATGTTATTACGGGATTAATATGTACCCTTCCTCCCAACATTGTTGGTATCTTAATTGCAATGTGAGCTAGGCTCCAGCCCCGGGGTCACCTCCACTGATTTATAGCCTTTGATGAGATTTTTTAGTGGTCGTCGAACTTCCTTCTGATGCTGTTTGCGGAATATTATTACAGTGGCCACTAGTGCTATATGACCCCTGAGGGCTTAGCACTTCCCCATGAATATAATAATAGCAATAATAACACATTCTAATTGGCCTTCCTTCCCACTTTATTAGTGACATTTCGAACAGGCAATGTACTTTGTCAGCGGACGGCTACATAAAATCACTTAGTCGCCTACTACAGCGTAAAAGACAAAAATAATTTCCCTTACCACTATGATCAGGAACGTAGGAAAGTAAAAGGCAAATGATAAATTCAAGAACAGTGTTTTTGCCTGAAGGCTACTCCTTGAAGGCAAAGATAAACTCTTCACTCAGCAATCAAAGGTGCCCGATGGCGAACGAGATCAAAGTTTCTTCCTCGGTTTTTTAAGGTGAAAACACAAGTGAGGATGCATGTAATAGAAAGGCTCTGTTCCGGGAATGAATTGAACGTGGATGTGCACGCGGGGATTGCTTCCACAAGGAGAATCTGCTACGGTACACTGGAAGAGGACGATTACTGGGGCCTAGTAAAAAAGATTTCTGACGCAGCCTCCAACATTCCCAGGGGTGGCGACCACCGTGCTAGTGTTTACCCCTTCATGCTGCCTCTGCAAGACCCGCCTCTTAATGCGGCTCCTGGGTTTATACAGCTCAACCTCTTACTTTTAGTCGGGAAACGCCACCTTGTGTGAGTGTCTGGGGTTGGCAAACATGCAACAAAACACCTCCAACAAGACCGCTGAAGAAGGAAGGTAAGACAGCACCGGTTTAAAAGTGTAATGAATAAAAAACACTAAAGTAGGAATGAGATAGCCTGTAGTTCGTGTATGAACACATGTAGGAACACATAAGTACACATAAATGCACAGACATTTACAAATGCATGCATACAAACATTTTAATTACAATGTTTTTCATTATTCGTAACTAACAAAAAAAGGCACAATACTCTGACTTTGTAAATGGCCCAACTCTGGGTTAATTGTGTAGTGTTTCATTATTCATATTGTTGGTCATAAATGTATAATTTAAGATCATAATTTGGCGTTTCATCTTGGCATTTCTGTTGAGCCTCTGCTGTTGTCACCGTCTCTGTTACAGGCTTTGCACCTCACTAGTTAACGGAATATAAATAAATGAACGTATGTTGTTATCGTTAAATAGTGTTGTTGCTATGGCGGGGCTAGGCAAGAAGCAACAACTGGTGTGCGATACCATAACACATGCGAATATGGTAACAAAAGACCTTATTACAGGCCAGGGCAGAGCAATCCCATATAGCACTTTCTTACACTCACTTTGATCTATATCATCCACGTATACTTATCTAATACTCAAAACCTTGATGCCCGCCTTCCAACTCGATCTAAACTGTCCTCTACACCTTCCGTCCAATCCAGATTTTTGCAACCCCTTAATCAACCTACTTCCCTCCATTTCTTTTACATGGCCAGACTCATTGAAGAATTTTTTTTCCTCTTGGTATTATACTTCATATACCACTTTTTCATAAATGAATAATCCGAATATATTTCAATTGGACAAACCACCGAAACATTAGACGTGGGGCGCACACGTTACCCATGACCCACGGACAGTCAAGAAGCTGAATTCAAGAACTCCTGTTAAATCCACCAGACTGTGATGGGCTCCAGACTGCAGTCCCAAATTACGTTTTACTAAAGTGGCAGTGGCAGATCAGGAGACTCCGGAAGACAGAGCGTGAGTAAAGACTGAAGGTAACGTTTTCTTAAGTAAAAGGACACAAGTGCAACTAATGTGACATTTTATTGTGGTAACGTTTCGATCTCCAGTTACAAACAATACATGGACACAGAGGGTATATATAGGCTTAGAGTGAGGTGTACTACTGGTGGTGGTAGTAGTAGTAGTAGCAATATAAGTTGTAATAGTAGTAGTAATACAATATGGTAGAACAATCAACTTGCACATAAGTAAAAGGTCAAAAAAAAAAAAACTATTACTTGGGTAACACCGCCGACAAAGGAGGTGGAGTCGTCATGCTCAACACCAGTGACTACAACACCAAAATGATCAGTCTACATATGAACCCATCAGCACACAACAGTGGGAGACACTCACCAAGGACTTCCTATACAAAACCAGACAAATACTCAAACGCACTAGTGAAAAGAAGAAACTTCTATACTTGTTACCCAGCAACCCTAAACCAGCACACATGTATGGTTTACCCAAGACCCATCAGGTATAGGTAGTGCACCACACAAACTAGCCGGAGTTCTTGCCAAACATCTTTCCTGCTTTCTGGGGACCATCAGCCCCGCTCATCTTAAGCATTCAGGTGACCTTCTCAACCGCATCTGAAACCTCTCCATCCGAAACAAGAAACTAAGTAGTTTTGACGTAACTTCTCTCTTCACTAAAGTACCTACCACACAAGCCATTGACGTTCTAAGACGTAAAGTCAATCAGGACCTTAATCTTCCCCTACCTCACGGAGATTTTGTCGACTTGATCGAACTTTGCATTAATTTCATTTGCTTTTCTTTCAGTATCAGGCTCTACAAACAAACCTATGGTATGGGAATTGGGTCCCCTATCAATGCCGTCTTAGCCAACTTGTACATAGAGCACCTGGAAGCTGAACACTTCACCAGCATCATCCCCTTCAGCGTCACTTGGTTACGTTATGTGGACGACGTCCTCATAATAACTTCCAAACGTTTTGATGTGCGGAATCTTCAAGCAAGGCTCAATGCAATTGAACCAGCTATCCAGTTTACTCTAGAAGAAGAATCCAGTGACAAGCTACCTTTTCTAGACGTCCTCAACCTAAGATTTCAAGTTTACCGCAAACCTACAAACAAAAATGATCTCACCCACTTCTATTCCAGTCAAGATACTAAGACCAAAAGAGGTATCATCATCGGATTTTTCCTAAGAGCATACCGAATTTGTAGTCCTGAGTTTCTTGACGAAGAATGTACTTACATACACCAAACCACTGATCTACATTTTCCTTCCTTTTTCATCAAAGACTGCAAGAAAAGAGCTCTTCAGGTCATCAATTCTCCATGCACCAACACCACTCCCAACAAAGTTATAATCCTTCCCAACAGCCAGATTGCACTGAATATTTCCAAGGTACTCGCACAAACTAACACTAGAGTCGCCATCGCATCCAGCACTTCCATAAGGGATCTAACCAGGACAAAATCGAACCACCACGAACCAGGCAATGCAGGAGTTTACACTATACCTTGTGGAGGCTGTAACAAGATATATGTAGGGGAAACAGCTAGGAACCTCGAAACACGCCTCAATGAACACATAGACGCATGTAGGGATGATAATCTGAACAACGCCTGCGTACAACACCGGAATTCCGCTAATACCTCATGAAATTCAACGACGCCCGACTAGTAATCAGAGAGCGAAATTTCCGCAGACGTATATGCCTTGAATCATCATTAATCGCTGTTTCTAACACAATTAAGCAAAATAAAGGCAGCTTCATCATCTCTGAAGTATTATCAAAAATCCTCCTCAAAACAGTAAACCCTGCCATCACATAGTCTCTGCTACACAAGAACACAACAGAGAAGGAACACTTTTTTTTTTTTTTTTTACTCACGTGCAAGTTTATTATTCTACCATATTGTATTACTACTACTATTACAACTTATATTACTACTACTACCACCTGTATTACACCTCACTTTGAGCCTATATATACCCTCTGTGTCTATGTATTGTTTGTAACGGCTTGATAAAGCTCCTGGAGAGCGAAGCGTTGCCACAATAAAATGTCACATTAGTTGCACTTGTGTCCGTTTACTTAACATATTGTCGGTAATTCTACCAATATTAACACTTACTTGTTGTGGATGTTGGTATTCTGCTTGCTGGGGTCACTGTGGCCAATCATCCGCATCTCCTTGCTCACACTCCCGTTCATACTGTACATGGACGTCTTCTTGGCGTGAGGCTGCAACACCACAAGTGTTATATTAATGTCTCGCATTGCTCACTGTGCCCTGCTTAGTGTTTAGTCTTACTTTTATCATGTTTTATGTACCCTCTTGTTTATATTCCCCTGAGTGTACCTTACTTCTTTTATCGTGCTATGTATCCCTACTTGGGTAGACCTACATCGACTCCAGGCTGAGGGACTGATTACCTCAGACTCCTTCTGATCTTCACCATTCTTCAGTGTATTGGACTGATGAAGCCACTGTGTGGCGAAACGTTCCCTCAATAAAGATACCCAAGTGTTGCATATGTGTCTAATTTATCAACTTGTCGGTTCTCTGAACCATTCATCTAAAGATCAAAATTTGTTTGGATTATTAACCCCCGAAGGATTCTTAACTCAGGATAATCCAAGAAAGTCAAATAGCTCGCCTGATTTCCACTAGGGTTCTTAGGCGCTTCCCCAGAAAGCAACCCACAAACGTGGGTACCCACTTAATGCTAAGAGAACAGGGGCAACACATGTTGAGAGATTCGCCCGGGGTTGAACTCAGGTACTTCGTTTGTGAGATAAACTCGATACCACTGTGCGTTCGGCTTCAAGTTGTGGCTTCCTGTTTGTGGGAAATCTTTAGTCTCGGGAAGCGTGATCGAAATTTACGTTTTCTTTTGATCTTGTACAACATCTTAAAGGTTTCTGCACGTTATGACCTGCTATAACGTGTTCAACTAGGTGTTATGATTCTACTAGTTGTGACCTGTTATAACGTATTCACCTAGGCGTTATTCTACTAGTTGTGACCTGTTATAACGTGTTCAACTACGTGTTATTCTATTAGTCCTGACTTGTTATAACGTTCAACTAGGTGTTATCCTACTAGTTGTGACCTGTTATAAGTCACTCTGTCTGACTTTTTTGGGTTGTCCTAGGTACTTTACACATATGCTGCTATGTATGATAATCTATGTAACTGTATTTGTGTATACCTGAATAAACTTACTTAACTGAGTGTTACTTGTTATAACTTGTTTTACTAGGTGTTACTTGTTGTAACTTGTTCAGCTAGTTTAACATGTTCAACTAGGTTTAACATGTCCAACAAGGTTTAACATGGCAGTTTGAGAATAACATGGCATCGAAAACCAAATCTGACCCATAGTTGTTGTATAGCCATATCAGGAGCAAAACAGCAGTTAGGACTAGGTAATCAGGCTGAAGAACGAAGGCGGGGAGCTCATGAGGAATAACAGAAAGTTTGTGAAGAGCTCAGCATAAGATTTGTGGAGGTACTTTCCGAGGAGACAGAACTTGTACATGTACTTTTAGAAATAAAAATTATTATAATTATTATTAAAGGCTTCCGCAATCCGAGGCAGGAGAGTGCACCAGCAAGTCTTGGACACAATACGTAACCGAGGAGAAGAAACTACTATATGAGTTACATACTTTGAAGACAGTTGGGCCAGATATTTCCTTTGATATACCTTTGATGAGTTCAGAGAGTTTTTCTACTCCCAAAGTCCGGTCATGGGCCAGGCTTGTCTGGTGTTTTCCTGTCAACCTGGCTGTTGTTGCTGGTGGCCTGTTGTCCCACATATCAATCACAGCCAGGTTGATCTGGAACCTGGTGATGATACTTGTCCAGTTTCCTCTTGAAGACTTCTACACTTGTCCCAGTAGTGTTTCTGATACCTTCTGGTAAGACGGAGGTCCAGAGAGTGGGAGCAGAGGCACTGTATGTGGCGCTAGCAACAGTCTTCGATAAGTCTGTCGAAATCGGACAACTGCCAGAGGTAAGGGAGACAGCAAATGTAGTCCCTGTTTTTAAGAAAGGAGACACAGGCAGCATTAACTACAAACCCGTGTCATTGACATGTATAGTGTATCAAGTTTTGAAGAAGATTATCAAGAGAAGAGAGGGTGGAACACCTAGAAAAACGTGGAAAATCCCGTATCATAAACTTACTGGAGTTCTTCATCAAGGTAACATAAGTAAGACAGGAGAGGGATGGGGGAGACAGCTTTTTCTTTGATTGTAAGAAGGCTTTTAACACTTCCGCACAAGAGACTGGTGCAAAAGCTAAAGGAGCAGGCAGGAAAAACAGGAAAAGCACTGCAATGGATCTGGGAATACCTGACAGGAATGATACAACGAGTGATGGTCCATGATCCATCGAAGAAACTGGGCCAGGAACTATGAATCGACCCTTGCAGCCACATATAGGTGAGTACATCCCCCTTCCACAACAGACCTAATGTCTATTGCCAAGTGCGTTTGACAACTGGTAACTACTACTACTACTACTACTACTACTACTACTACTACTACTACTACTACTACACACACACACACACACACACACACACGAGTTGTGAGTTTACCCCTACAGCCATATATAGGTGAGTGTACACTGTACACAGTACTATACTTCACACACACACCAGACAGAAGGTAAATATTACAATATTTTACATGCATTTAGCATAAACTTTTGTTTCCTTTTTATTAATAGTTCTTCTTCCTGAAATATTTGCTTTATTTATTCTGGAGGCGTGATCAGAGACCGGCAGACGGAGCGTTGATCCACAGAATAAAACAGATAAAACACTTTTATTACTTGTCATCTGTCAGTTAGTGAGACACGTGAAAATGTTCTACCAATGAAGAAGCTCAAACTTTGAGGTAAAATTGTTTGTAAGATGCAAAAGCGCTATGAGGATACACATATCTCAATGTACATTTCTGCGACAGAACTGAAGTAGACGGAATATGAACCTAAAATAACCCTGCTACCTAAATGAACCACGAATCGAGACCCCGTCCATTCTAGATGAGCATATATGACAGACTAAATAGGTCAGGTGCTGAATGTGGGGGGCGAGGCTGTGTGATGGCCGACGTTTTAATTATTTGAAGTGACCCCACTATAGCTCCTCTACATCCCAGAATTTGCAAATTTAATTTAATCTTTCTTCAAAAGATTTAAGTACTCAAAAAAAAAAAAAATTAATATCTTGTAAGATGTGCATTTAAACCTCTTACTTGCACTGCTCTTCTTGGAACTGGATTAAACACATCTTGAATGACCACAGATGAAATGAAAGTACAAATGAGTCAAATTTTTATTTAAAATCGTATATACAGTATGTATTTACTTTTATGTACTGTACTCTGTATTGTAGCTTTCACTTGATAAACAATGAGTGTTTACTTACATAAGAATTATACTTCTTATTTTTAGTGCTTGTAAGCATGAGCACTGGAAAGTTTTCATAAAAAATAATATCTGGTGATGATAAGCCTCTAATTGTAACGTACACTGCTTTACTATTGTGACGGCTCGCCCTTCCCGAAATTCTACCTGGGTCCTCTCAGTTATGAGCCGAAAGGTGCATATTATACACAGAGATCATTTTTAAAGGGGACTAAGTGTTGTTGACTGGAATACAGGTGTTACTCCATCGTATTTCAAGTTAGGTATATATAACCACAAATAAGCAAATAATTCCAGGTGAATTATAGTATTAATGTATTATATTAACAGTACACTATTCAATACAATACTGAGAACTATATTTCTTTGTAGATTTACCCCGTGATCCAATCACTGAGAGCTTTAGTAAATATTCCCCTCTTACCTCGCCACTGAAAAACCTGCTACCACCTTATATATGCAAAAAGGCACATAGTTTAAAAAACAAAACAAAAAGAAAAACCAGAGCACAATGCAACTCAACACTTGTAAGAGCCTCCACCAGTAAGGGAACTAGTCAATAATTGGACTCGTTGGTTCTAGTCTGTAAATTCGGGTAAAAAGAAATGACCCAGATCTTTATCATAGGATGACCCATTTAGTGATGCCGGCACTATGTCGGGAGTATTGTAAAACGGTGTGTTTAAGGGCACGTGAAGGTGGGATAGCTTAAAGTCTTAATGTGAACCACGGCAGCGGTTACCACTGACTCCCGTGCTGACTCTGTTTTCCTTGGCCAGTAGTGCTTGGGAAAGCCTTAACTAAACCCTTACTCTGCCAGGGATTAGGCAAGAGAAGGTCCATCTGACCCAGTTGAGAATATATTGCTCCCGTCTCTTTTTAGGAGAAACCTTATTTTTCAAAATTACTCTCCCAGATTTGGCAATATATTCATCAGAATTCTGGGAGAAGGTCTCCTACGGCGCAAGCCGTCGTAATCCTTACGAAGCAGTGCAGCAGCAGCAACAACAGCAACGGGTCTTATATTACCGTATTTACACTGGGAAGAACATCGTGAGGTATAAAAGCTGTAGATGAACACATTCAAGAGGTACAGGAGCTGCAGATCAACACCCTCATGATATAATGAGCCTCAGGAACATCAAGAAATACTTTTTTATCTTCAGGGTGTTCAAGAAGTGAAATTACTATAAGGAAGCCCTAGAAGTGGACTCGACACAGTTTTGAAGAGAGTTATGACAGGGCCCTTGAAGCAGAAAATTAGTGAAACTGGACGTAGGAGCGGAGAGTCGAAACCAGGAAATACAACTCAGTGAGCGTAAATACATACATTAGCTGAGTTATAAGCACGCACGCACGCACGCACGCGCACACGCACACACGCACACACACGCACACACACGCACACACACGCACACACACGCACACACACGCACACACACGCACACACACACACACACACACACACACACACACACGCACGCACACGCACGCACACGCACACACACGCACACGCACACACACACACACAGCTTTAAAAAGAGGTATGATAACGTTTATGGAGCAGGAAGCGGCCAGTGAAGAGGCGGGGGCAGGAGCTATAACTCGACCCCCGCAACCACAACTAGGTGAGTACATACATACACACGTAACCAGGCTCTCAGTACAACACCTGAAGAGTATTAAAGATCCAGCATAATTACGGATGTGTAGAGCAAATGTTGCACAGTATTTTTTTGCCCATTCACCTTTCTCTTTTTCCTCCCCTCCAGTTTTATTTTTCTCCCCTCCATTCTTGTC